CCACTCCACGCCACTCCACTCCACGCCACTCCACGCCACTCCACTCCACGCCACGCCGCGCCGCGCCGCTCCGCTCCACTACTCCACTCCACTACTAGTAACTCCCTTAGTTACCACTAAGTGGTTATGGGTTTCTGCTTACACACATATTCATACTGCAAGGTTTTAGAGTCCCTCCGGCCAGAAATCCTGTTTTTCGCACAGCACTTATAGGTTCCTTCCAGGTCTTCACGTCCTACAGGAAGACTAAGTCTGCTACGAAGAGTTCCCTCTCCATTTTCCCGCATCTTGTCCACTGAATGATAAATGCCTTCAGTTCCATTCGTGATTATTTTGTCATCCTTGTACCAATAAACTTCGAGAGGCCATCCCGACAAATGGCATTCCAAATCGTCTGGTTTTTTTCCTTCGATCAAAAAAGTTGGAGTTTTGGAGCACCAATAAACTTTCGGTGCATCTAGAGTGGAGAATATTTTTACAAAAGTCAGTGCATGCGTAAAAGAAATATCTGAATATGAAAGGATTCATTATATATCAAGAGTCATATATTCCATAGAGGCTAATTTCCATATGATCGTTACCATGGCTACGATTGCTGCGCTCCAACAAACGGTTGAGCGATCCTTACGGCTACCTGTTCCTATGACTACCACGATATCGCTGCAAATTAAACTGCCCTGGAGGACTTAGACGAAGCAACGGCGCACTGCACTCAGAATCTCTGGTATATTTTTCATCGCAGTGATCGCTAATATCTGTAGAGCGTGGTTTCCGTATTATGCCGCAGCGATCACTATGATTGCTGAGGTAGAACTGAGGTCTATCTCCGTTCACCATGGCTACGGTCGCCGAAGAGATCGATCGCTACAATTTTTTTCGCAGCGATCGTAGCGATCGGATGGAAACCAGCCTTAAATGAGCTACGTCATGGTTTGCAAATCTTGAAAAGTTTAGTTCGAATTTTTTGAGTTTGTCGTTTGTAACAGTCCTATCCTCTCCATCCTTAACAACCCTTGTTACTTCATGGTTTATTATTATCTCTTTGGTATTTTTCTATCTTGGCAAACTATTATTTTCAAGTTTCCTCCAATTTAAAGGTAGTTCTGTATGTGGGCAAACTAACTCAAAATACCGTGACAGAATTCTTTCACATATTCAACTGTTAACCTATTGAGAATTTTTTGAAACCTCAAAGAGATAATGAGACAACAGTGTCAAAATGTACCATTTAACCGTACTGCCTGCTGTACAACCACGTTTCACCAGATCCAGTTAAGTCAGAAGTTGCGGCATGACAGGAACTTGGCCTGGCCATCCCTCACTCAAAGTTTCCAATCAGCTGCCAAACCATAATAAGCTGAAAAATGTATGTCACTGTTGCCAAGAGTGGTGACTTATAAAAACATTTCTATTTGGATCTTAGTTTTCAAAGGCAATAGACAACATGCGTCGAGCGAGAAATGCTAAGAGTGCAATCCCTTTTGTTGCAGAACTAGCCCACTGAAACCCTTTGTTTGGAAGAGATTTATCGATGACATATTTTCTTTGTGGAACATTCCAATGGAAGAAGTTTCCAATTTTGCTAACTTCGCTAACTCGTTCCACCCTACGATCAAATTTACTTGTGAAATGTCATCCGAACGCGCTGTTTTTCTCGACACAGAGGTACATGTATTCAGAGGACCTTGCTTTTCAACTCTCAAAACTCTCGATTCACAAACCCACTTCAAGCCCACTGAAACTTTTCAGTATACACACTTCTCATCCTGCCACCCGTTCAATACTAAAAAGGGTTTTATCAAAGGAGAAGCATTACGTCTTTTAAGAACCAACTCATTCAAAGAGAATTTTTATAAATACAAACGAGATTTTGAGCAAAGACTCTGTAACAGAGGCTATCCCACGGCGCTCGTTCATAAAATCTTGACTGAAGTTCAGCTCTCAGACAGAACAGAAGCTCTTCGTAACAAAACAAAGAAGGCGAAAGAAATTTTACCGTTTGTTACCACTTATAACCCAGCCACACCGAATCTTAAAAGGATTCTCATGAAACACTAGCATATCATTCAACGGCAGCCTAGACTTGCACATATCTTTAACCAGCCATCGATGGTGGAAAAATCACTCAAGGACATTTAGTCCGCGCAAAACTTCCTTCAATCACGCCGCAATCAAAAAATTGTAAACAAAGAAGCACTTTCAAAAGGTTTGTTTTCAAAGCAGAGGGAAATTTACATATGATCTTTTTCTGCTAGCAACACGCTCAGCCTGCGTTCACACATCTCTGTCCGCAACTCAACTGAGCCAATAAACCTAAGCCTTGATCATTTGCTAAGCGCTCCTCCATTTACACTTCAAACCTTTCAGTTGATCATTCATAGCGAACATAGAAGCTGAGGACTCGAAGACTTTATTTAAATACTGGAAGCTAAGATAAAAACAAGCGAAGTAGCACCTACATGTGAAGTGTATATTGGTACAGTCACATGACATAGTGTCGCTTTCCTTCGTTGAATTTAACTGCAGCAATACCAAGTCTGGTGAACCAGTACTGTTCTGGAATTTTTTCTTCGCTTGTCTCCATGTCATTCCTAGCTCCAGTCCTCGTGTGATGATCGAGCAGTTGCGAGTGATTTTAGAGTCGGGATCTACTGTGATGGGATTTGCGTACTGACACCCTGGTGGGCAAAAGGATGAATTTATTTCACACTTCACGTCAGTCGCAGATGAGGCATCTGTTCAATAAAATAACAACCCAACAACATTAAATGAGCTTATCAATTTGTCATTGATAAACCAGAATAAAGTGTCTATGGAAGAGAATGATTGCTTGCAAGGGGGGCTAGCATTCATCATCAGCTGATCATATAATTATTGACCAGAGAAAAGCTCGTCGAGAGCTAGCGCCTATAGTTAACGTAGCGATCGAGTGAAGGGAATAATTTCTTTCTTATCTTATCTCGGAGCAATCGAGAGATTTTCAAATTTTCCTACTAATTATTTCCTAAAAGAGATGAAAATATTTTCCTGAGGTATTTCTTAAATAGAGGGAAAAAACCTGCTTCTATTTGGTAAATAAAACTTCAGAAATATAACATCACTCCACCCTACTAAAAGTTTTACGTATCTCCTCTTCTAACACTATGGTTAGCACTTTGTTTCAATAAGTAAGTGCTTTTCACCCGTTATGCCAAAGTTTCATATGACTCATGTGTCACATTGGATTTGGCCGCTGTTCTTTCCAAATTCGAGAATTATTATAACTGTTTAAAAAATGAAAGGAATAAGATTAAAGTTTTACAAATGGCTTAATTTAAAAAAGCTCAGGAAAAAACGAAGATCTCTTTTAAACAGAGGCGTTTGATGTCTCAACAGTTTCTATTTTTTTTCATGCACAGATTACTGTGCAGTAAGACCTCAGAATTCTTTTTGGCATGAGGATAATGGAAAAATTTTGAGTAAAATCAAGAGTTGCAGAAGCCTCTCGCTTACATACTGCGATGTTATTGTTGGGTCTTTTGAGGAGGAGATGGATCTATTTAATTATATAGTAATTTTAGGAAAATCTTTCTCGTGGACTTGTCGATGTAAAGAAACATTACCTTCCTTGAGTCACTTCATAAGAATTTTGCTAATTAAATATGAAACTGAAAAACACATCCATTTCAAATCGGATAAAAAGAATTTGTTTAAGGAAAAATGGAAGATTTTTGAGGAAAATATTTTAACTAATAACTAAAGTCGGACAACGCTATTGTTAAGGAAAATCGTAAAGTTAAATAAGTATGTAGAAAAGAACTGACAATATTTATTTTCTTTATTAATTCAATATGGTGTCATTGTTAACTTCTGGAAAACAAACTTTATTCATTCTCCTGTAACGTAATTGTTGAAAAAAGAATTGTTATTGTTGTAATTGTGGTAATAAATAAAAAAAAGGAAGACCTCAGAATTGTAGTGGTCAGCGGTTCTTACGGGCGCATGCTCGTATCAATAAAACGTGTTCTGTGCATCCGCCATCTTGGGTGTCTTGTTCTTTACACTTCCTACACTTCAAGAATGAAAACATTACGCAAACAAGTGTTATCTGAAAGTGTTATCTGGAACAATAGGCTTATTAAAATAGATGGCAAAAGTATTTACTACCACAACTAGGTAAAAGCTGGAATTATCTTTTGTTACCAGATGCTATTTGATCGATAAGAATAATTTAGAATCATACAACAGTGCCAAATGTAAAGGATTGATACATACAAATTTTTTAACCTGGTCAGGGATTCGAAGCGTAATTCCTGTCCACTTAAAAACTTTGAATATAGAAGAAAGTGAGATAACTTCACTGAAATTTCAATGTGGGGAAAAAATCTTTGATCCTGTAAGATGTAAAAGTAAACAATTTATGAACTGCTCATCTCGCAAAAGACAATGGTCCCTGGGAGTTTTACTAAACTCAAGGACGATTTTGATTTAGATGATATAACTGTTTCTAAGGCCTTTCTTAATTTGAAGGCTGTATCATCTGAAACTTTCATTAGAAGCTTTCAATTTAAATTTTTAGATGACATTATCTACACCAAAATAGATTATGTCCGAAGTCACTCCTTAGGGGTGTTAAGCACCCCATTACCCCCTACACCCTTACCCATACGCCCTGGCGCAGAACTGTCTATATACTACTACTTCTTACTCTTGACATTAAACAATGCCCAATATATGCCTCTTAAAAATTCACTTGCAGAAGCTTTTTCAAATAATTTTCTCAAACTCATCAAGTTTAAACAATGTAAATCATAACTGTGATGGTGTTTGGATATCTGATCTTATTTGGCATAGATGTTGTAATTTTAAGTCGCCTTTTTCTTCTAACAGCCACTTGAAGATTAATATTGAATCCAGAAACAAACATGGATGAACTGTTCTATCCAGAAATTATTATGCAAACTACTAGTCAATCATCAACATATACTTTTAACATCACAAGGATCTACATGTATCAAAAGAAGCATGCAGACTGTATGAACAATATGTTTTTATATATTGTCTTTACTGCATTTACAGTAACATTTTATCACATTTTGTATCATCTTAAAGCTAGCAATCAACGAAAGACCCTACATCCTGTATGCAAATTGATTATTCTTATTCCACTTGACAATATTTCTTTCTAGTCATGACAAAACGTATTCAGAACTTCAGTGGAATCGACACCATTGACAAGGTGTCTATTTGGGACCAACTGTTGAATTCTCAGTTGCTGACTTTATTATGTAACTGGCTTAGATATGGCAGCAAACCCTCTTGACAGTACATGTACAAGTTAATTTGATACTGTAAACAGTCTTCAATAAAATTAATAACAACTTACCTATGTTGATACCTAATAATCAATGTTACCTTATTTATTGAAATGTATACCTTTATCTTTCTAGTGATGGCCTATTCACTTGTAGTACTTTAACTTCCGAATAATGACGTTTAAAACTGGCTTTCAAACTGAATGGAATGAAAGTAAATCTAAGCCCACACAAGTACGCTTTGCGGACCTATATTTATAATTTGGAAGCATTGTAAAATAAATGCATGTAAATAAGCTAAATTAATTTTAATTTCCCTGTTGTTTGAATAATTTATGGCAATATACAAACATTTCAAATTAAATCAAGATATCTTAAATTTAAAATTTTTGTCACTGTGAATATATTTTTTATTACTCTTGTTTGATATTGGTTTTTATTGTGATATCTTCACTAATATTCATGCTACCTTGCTGGTATTTATTGTTATTATTATTCTTATAGTAGTAACTGTTCAGTGTTGTGGTAATTCTTTCTTTAATATTATTAAACTCTCAATTAGCACGCGCGCTGTGATTGGTCAATTTAGAGGGCCGTCTTCTGCTGTATGACCCGCTAAAATTTAAAGCTGTTTTTGTTGCCAAAATGGTTTGTGATTTATCGCCAAGTGTTCTTAACTGTTTAGTTAGTAAAAGTTTAAAACTTTCTTTTACTCCGAAAATTGTGTATTAAAACCAGCGAAGGACTTTAGAATCTCTTAACAACGATTTCAAATTGACTCGTTTTGCTTTAGAGATGCGTCAGGTATTTGAAGCCGTTCCGCGTGAATAGAAATCGTTCCCGAACCCGTCAGACACACAGTAGAGATATAATAAATATCTTATTAACATCGTTTTGTCGGTCCGTATTGTAAGGTACGGATCCTCGTTTTTTCCCTTCGATTTATGTCCCGCGCGCTTCGTGCTTGGGCCATAAATCGATGGGGAAAAAACTTACAGTACGGCCCTCGAACTCGGTTAGTAAGAGTTATGTATTTTTTTTTAATGGTTTGACATCTGGCCCGCGTTGTTCGAAATCCGGTTTAAGTTTAAGTTTAATAATAATATGTCATGCTAGTACAAGCAAATAAATCACAGAAATTACAAAAAGTACATGACTGGAGAATAATAGGTTAGCGCTAACCCAGGTAACATATATATTTTCTTGTGTAGTTTAAGATGAATCAAACTCAAAACTGAAAGACAAACAACATAATCAGAAAACTGGACCGAAAAGTTACAAAACTGAAAGTAATCAAAATTCTCTCTAATCCTGTGTTAGTTTAATCAGGCTTTGAACAACCCGGCCCTGGATATTTGAGACTGTGCATGGTGACTTAATTATGTACCAGTATTGGTACAATATTGGTTTATTGCAAGAGACATATGGTGAGACTGTTGCTAAGTTTAAATTTATATCCCTCGAGTGAAATAAAGTCTCCTCAAGTCCCCTAAAATCGCTTAAGTCGCCTTAAATCGCCTAAAGTCGCAATGTTTTTTCTTCCAATTTTGCTTAAGTCGCCTAAAGTCGCCTTAAGTTACGGCGACTTAAGGTCCCAGAGTAGGCCTAGATCATAAACATTAATATTCAAATGGCACTAAACAACGGAAACGCATCCGAAAACCAAAAATTTCAGATAATCCAGAAGGAAGTAAAGTTCGCGTAAAACAAAACTTCCAACAATTTAAAAGTTTCGATAAAAGAGGACGTGATAATCAAAATTAAACTGTATTTAAATTTAAAAAAACACGAACTAGTATAACCCTATTTTAAAACCCACTTTTCAATATGCATTAATAATTCATGTACTTGTCAAAAAGATCACTTGGAAAGACTGGGCGTTTTCTATTCGGACAAAAACTCTGGTTTGAAATTTCCTGGGGCGAATGGAACACAGTTTTCCGGTTGTCTGTGGAAAACGATAAGCCCGTTCCATTCGCAATTGTTGCCTCTTAAATTGAAAATAGCTGACTGACCCTGAATCTCCCGCACTTTTGCTCGCTTGCATGGAGTTATTCAGTGACTGCAAGGTTTAAACACAGGGGACCCGAACACTGTATCAGCAATAAAAAAAATCATTTAAAATAAATTTACTGTTATTTACCTGTGTTCCTGTGTCTTTTTGAGCCATTTAGAGGGGATTTGAATAGAAGCGAACGCGGTTTACATTTCAAATATCATCTTGTCTGCTGCTTTATTCAGTGATCGGGTCCCTTCACGGTGGTTTCAATCGCAAATATAAAAGCAAACAGAATAATGTAACTTTAAGACCACAATAGCAGAGACGTTATACAAATCGCAACGGCAGCGAAAACATCGCAAAACAAAGGGTTTAATGCGTGGTACATTAAACCTGTACGTGTTATAAATCTTCGTACATTTCTTGACACACCACAGCAAAA